GCTTAGCCTGACTGTCCTGTGATTTCGAAAACAACTGAGCTGCACTCGAGGCCTCGAGACTCACACTCTTTGAATATAGTCCCATGTTTAGAAAATGATATGAGTTGTCAATGAGATTTAATATTCGATTTATATTGAAACATTTGTATAAACGTAGGTAGTGCTTGTGCTGGGGGTATAGAGAACTGCTAACAGAAGCTACCAGCTACCTCAAACTGAAGAGAAAAAAGCATTTACGCTTACCAGGGCCTTAAAACTCTCGGTTCCAATTAGCTGAAATTCACTCTTTTCCTGCCCTCATCCCTCTCCCTCATTTTCCCCCAAACATAATTTTTACCACTAGAGTCAACACGGATAAACCCGCCTAGCTTCCGTGCAACACAGAGTTCAAGTTGCTCTTCCAGTAATGGATGCAATAATCTTTATAGTTTCATTCCTAATCAGGTCTAATTAACATTGAGCTGTCAGCCATACTTTTTCAGGTTATGAATAATTAATAGAACACTTTTATATCGCATATTAAGTACAAGAGTTGGTTAACAGCACTTTCTAACCTTAAATATCCCCCAAATAATCTTTGTATGAATAAGCTTTCCCTTTAATTTTTGTCACAAAGATCGGGATCTAGTTTTTATGGGTCACCAAGTAACATTTCTCAATATACTTTACAGAATCACAGAATCCCAGAACGTTGGGGATTGGAAGGGACCTCCAAAGCTCATCCAGTCCAATCCCCCTGCCGGAGCAGGAACACCCAGATGAGGTTACACAGGAAGGCGTCCCAAAATTAAGGGTATTTTGCTCAAAACTTGGTAGCTTGCAATGCTTCGCACTCAGCCAGCCACTGCTCTGACACCCTGCACAGGTTTTTGAAATGAAACTCAAATGGAGGACAGAGGTGGCAACCAGAGCTGTCGTACTGATGCTCAACAACAAGACACCAACACCTTGCTGACAAACCTGAAGAGAGTTCCCGTATTAAAAATTAAATTCTTCTGAGTCAACGAGGATAGATTACTCAGTTAATTCACCATATAAAGGATGCATTCACAGAAAAAAAAATGGTCTTCTGTCACTGATCCAAGAACAAAGTTTCTAAAATTTAAGCCATTCTTACACTTGATGTGTTAATCTTAAAAACAGATTGTTCTCTTGCTGCCGCTGAAGCCTGTGAATTATTAGACCATGCAGCATGGCACTTAACCACAAATGTATTACTGTTGCTTTTCTTTAAAAAAAACCTGGAGTTTAAAGGAACCCAAGTCTGAGAAAGTGAAAGGATGTGTTGAGTTATAATTTCCTTGTCTCTCAGAAAAATAATGTCACTGTTAGCACTCACAGAGGCTTAGTTTCTTTTTCCACGATTAATGTACTCTGTCAAGTACACATATAATCACGTCTTATGGCAGGAAACAGCAAGGCATTATTAGCAGATAACCTTGGTTAGCTGTTTGATGTTTTCTTTCACTTTCAGAAAGTCAGATCCCAAATTTCCAGACTGGCTCGTTAAAACAGAGCTGTAGTGCTAATTAAAATAATTTTTAGATGACCAAAGAAAAAAATACAAGAATTCTTTTTTTCCAGAGTCAATATTTGGTGATTTTGTAGATGAACTTCCAAGAAAACCCAATAATGATTAATATTAAAATAGAAAATAATTAGGTAGACTAACAAATTCTTCAGTGAACAATGCTGTTAAGATTTCATTTTCTAATGCTTTATAATAAGAATCAGCTGCCAATTTAAGGGGCAAAAAAATGTGGGTTTCATTTTATAACTGACCTGAGAGCTCTCAGCTCCCTTTCAGATGAAAGCTGAAGTTGCTCAGTGCTGTATAAACCACGACATTAAGTTCTGCACACAGTTTTAATGCAAAAAAAAAGCACAGAAGCGGCGTTAGAACAGCAACCGCACCGCAAAAGTTTCTGAAGAAACACTCTTCTGGTGCTGTTTATGTGCAATGCTATCATGTCTTGTGTCAACACTGAACAGGTGGAAAAGGCAAGGAACCTCTCTCTTGGACAGCAATTCCCACATGGGTGTAAAAACTGGGGATGTAGACGACTTTAAAGAAACACAACCAACCTGTTTCCAAGTGGAACGGAGAGATAACAGTGATAACTGATGCAGTGGAATACAGAAAAATGCACTGTCGTTACAATTCCCACCAGAAGTTTTATTTGCCTTGGTTTAAGGACTTGTTGTTTGTGGCAAATTGTGGGGACTTAGAAAAGAAATAAAATTCCTCAAGCTGAAAAGCTAACAGCTAAAATAGGTTGAAACTTATTTTAGTGAAAAAGTCCAATATTTGGTCCTGTTTCAAAGTATTCCTAATACTAGGAGGCATCAGATTCACTCAATAAAATATCTCCTATATGATTCACACTAAATTTTCTGTTAGCCTGAAATTATTGCCTATAGAATCTGAATTATCAGAACAGTCAGCAGCATTCAGGAGATCAGCAGTGGGTATTTCATCCTCCTATGTTTAACCTCAAACCCACCATAAAATGCAGTGTGTCAGAAGTCCGTTATACAACAACATATTGCACTATTGGGAGCAAGATGACTTTCTCTAGGTTCTTTTCTAGAGGGGCATGGCTGCACTCAAGTTTTCACTGATTACAGTAATATTTTAATGGAATTACTCTTGGTTTTGAAGTCGAAAGTCTTAACAGGACGTAGCATAAAAAGGAGCAGAACGGGACTATTTCAGATCAGCAATGATACGCTAAGGGTACTCAGTACCGTAACTCAAGGGTGATGAGAGTCTTGAGTCAAAGTACAACAGCTCTGACCAAAATATACCAATATTTCTGTTTGAAACACACATCCATTTGAAACGTATGACTGGTGATTCTGAGCAAGTACCATTGCTAGACATCTTCAAAAAATCTTATGCATGAAAGCGATTATTATGAACAGCAGGTGAAAGATACCCCCCAAAAACCCTTTACAGGGTGCTAGCTATAAACATACACACTCTCTTCTGCCTTCAGATCAGTGTATTTTCTCCTTTGAGAATTGGAACAAAATTCATAAATACTTAAACTTGCAAAGTGTCATTGGATATATAGATGTATTAGCAGGCCTGATGCAAAAACAAAAGCGGAGGGGAAAGAGGGCCTAGACCTTTTAATAGTGAAACTATTTTCACTTTTCATAATTACTGTGCTATAGAACTTAATGATCAGTAGCTCAAAACATTGTCCAAATAATGAGCTCTCAAACAGGTAAGTCAGCCATAGGCTAACTGCATGGTTTGATACCACAGACAAAAATAGTGATAGATACAAGTCTCATTGTGATAGTAATTGCTACAAGATACTCGTGTAAAATCAGTGAACTTTGCATACTTTCTTCGCTATCAACCTTAATAAAAAAATTCTGTGCTTACCTAAACTCACTGCATTTTCTTTAGAAAACCGAATCCTCTTTCAGAAGCAAAGCAAGCCAAGCCACGTACAAATGGTAACACAGTTAACAGTGACCACAACCTCAAAGCACAAAACCCTCCGGCTTCATAGGCAGAGCGCTACGTTTGGAACCATTTGTAGTTCCCTTTGACTTAGGCTGTGACTAGAAAGATATTAATCACGACCAGAAATGGCATTTTATAAAAATTATTACAATCACACCTATCTGAGGCTAACATACAATGTTCCACTTAAACTCACTGAATTAGACATGGAGACATCAAGTATTTATAGACATATCTACAAACTGCAACTGCCTTTTTTTCTTTTTCAATCAGTGAACTGACCTTTAGAGTAAGGGTTTCATGACAACAGGCTACCCCACACTGGTTTTTACTCTTTTGACCTTGCTACTTCTTTGCGCTTCTGTCTTTCTGAGAAGCACGTGCTGAGAAAATTGGGCAAAATTGGTCTTAAACTTCTTCCAGAGTCTGAAGAGAGAGCTTTTGCTAAATTTTTGCTGTGCCTTACACTCCTACTTTATCAGACTTATTGTTTCACCTGCATCAATATCCGATGCATTTTTAACAAAGGGAAAACACTGTCCTAACATTCTTCAAATTCAGATACAAATGGAAAACTGGAAATTCCACACTCTCTGACTGCCCTAGACAAATGGAGGTGTTGCTCTAACAACAGCGCTGAAGCCCTTATCTCAGTATTGAGCAGAGATGAAAGAAAATAGACATGGAAAACGTATAGCATGGATAGGCTGAATGTTAGCTATGTAAAATGTTAAATAAAGCTAAAATCCTTCAGTTTTTCCTGATTATTCTGTGATCAGTTTGCAAAAATAGAAAATAATGGAAAATGCTTAGGGGTTCATAGACCCTCGGTGCTATTTTGCCTTCACCTGAAGGTCAATTGTCGGACAATACCCGATTTAAAACAGCTCTGTCATTGAACTACTGGTCTTCATTGCGAGGTTCGGTGTTTTCAAGAAGAAACAAAATATTACACAGAAGGAACAAAACCCAAGGATGAGATATTTAGAGAACTCATCTAAAGATGACACGTGCTTTTGGAAGATGTTACGCTCGACATTTTCAACTGGAGTTAAATTGGCCGTGCCTTTGAAGCATTCACAAAGAGAAACAAATAAAGAAAACTCTGCGTTTGCATCCATCCACTCACATGGTTTCTCCGATTGCATTCCTTGAGAAAACGATCACGTCCTATAAGGTATTTGAGGGCAAGAACTCAAATCCTCAGAATTAGGGCAAAATCCCCCAGGTCCCACAAGGCCATTTTCAAAGCAGACACTTAAAGAACTTAGGGAAGTGGTATCCAAAGATCATTTAGCATCGTAGAACCGCATAAAGATCTGAAGAACTGGGTCTGCTTCAAAGCTCAAAAAAGATGAGACTGGCAAATTTAGTCATGAAACTCCTACTGTGGCAGAGTCCTTGGTGTGTGGATCCTGGTCCAGTTGACGTTGCAGGCAACGGAGCTGAAGGTGTTGGTATCCCTGACGACGTGGAGAGGAAAGGGAAGGCCAGCGCAGGTGGGCTGCCCATCCTGAGCTCAAGGTCCTCCACTGTATGAATAATCTGCCTTGTTGTGCATCACCAGCTTGTTGTCTACAAAGTAGAAACTGTCCGACTGAGTCTCGTATGGATGAAGGATCATCTCTCGAACTGCAGGGGAAAATAAACTTAATCGTGTTACACAGAGGCCCTGCTGAGGCAACACTGCCCTGGCTTTCAGTTACCTTTGATAGCATCGCTCAGATAGCAGCAAACTCCCAAGTGAAAAACCAAGACGGGAACCTACCCAAACCATTTGTGGAGAGTATCTTTTAAAGAACTCAAACATAATCCAAATATGTTAAGGCACCATACAAAGTGTAACTGCTTCACCTAACCTGAAAACAATACCACAATGTGTGGGGATTTTGTTTTGTTTTTAAAAAAGTGATAAAACAACGTACTCAAATCTGTCCTAGTGTGACAGTAAGTAAGCAGCAGTGCATCACTATTTTCCACAGACTGTAATATTCATGCTGACATACATGATTAGGGGTTGTAAAGAACAGAAGATCACACAGATTTAGTACTGCTGCCGTTGTGTCTTGGGAGAGAGGAGAGAAAATAAAAGTTATGCTCATACTAAAACTAAAAGCTCTGAAGCTATCAATGTAACACATCAGACATTAAAACAGAACGTAACATTTAAGTCATCCATTTACTGGATGTCTTTTTAATCCTATTTTTTGTTGTTGTTCTATAACACAATTATCTTTTTTCTCCCTGACACTGAAGCTTCCCCTTCATGAATTAAAAAAACCAAACCAAACAAACAAACAAACAAACAGCAACTGTCTGGCGGGTGACAAGACACATGCTACTAGAAAACAAAATCTGTATTAACACAGATAGAAAATTACCTGGAAATATTCTACCCTACCCACTTTCCACAGACATTTCAAGAAAGGGCTTCTTCAGAACACCTTAAATCAAAATCACCCCGTGGTAACTCAGAAATGAGAGCGAGCTTACTGAGATCCTCAGAGAGCTGGGGGAATTCGTAGATGTGCTCACAGGTATTTTTACTGCTGGGGATGCAGAACCCAAATTCAAAATCAAAGCTCTTCAGCAGCTGATCGCGGAAGTAGTGCCTCTCAATCATGCGGAAGTTGTTAATGGGTTTGTCTCCTACTGTAAATTCCACCCTGAAAAAGGAGAAGATTGGAATGAGCTTTCTTGCTCAAGCAAGCCTCGCAACCATTCCTGAAAGGGAGAAGAGAGCTCTTCTAAACAAATAAAACCCCAGAATATAAGGCAATGCTACAGGGACGAAACATAGAATTACAAATCATAGATTATACTAGATCTTGATTCTTTTAACTAAAAAAAAAAGACATGCAAGACAACTCTACAGTCTTAAACTCATCTTCAGTGAAGGAAAGATCCCTCCAACTATACTGGATAGGCGCTTCACTACATC